TCAAATTTTGTTATAAATAAAGCATTTAAAATTTAGAAAAGACGTTTTGCTAATAGATTATTATCTTTAATTCAAAAATAAATAAAATTTAGCTGCCGATCAAAAACTCCATAAAAAAATGTCGACGAATGGAAGCCCTTAAGAAAAAGAAAAATAGAAGCTGAAAAGAATTATCGCAGTAGAAATACTTTGACTCAAAGAACTTCAGGAAGGAATCTACATATATCGCAATCGACAATTTGTTGTTTAATGAAGGAAATTGGCTTCTACCTTCAAATGTCTGTTGAGACCGTAGAAAAATGAAGAAAAAGTTCTTAACCTCTTTGTTTAATGTTACACAAAGATAGATACAAATCATGAATAAATTCGGAAGCACTGCTTCATCTTTCACTCCCAACTGGCGAAACGAAGACACAATGTATTTCACGCAAAAAAGTTGCAAAGACGCAGCTGTTTTAGAAAATACAAGTTAGCCATTAGGTGTTATGATATGGATGGGAACGTCCTCCCAAAGCATAACAAAAACATTTTTTGTAGAACCAAATGCTTAAATTGATACTAATACTATCAGAATAAAGTTTTGAAATACTTTATCAATAAAAGTAAGTGTCTTTATTACCAATGAAACTTTCTTTTTCATCAAGATTTTGCATCAAGTCATACTGCAAAATCCTCTATAAAAATTGGCTGAAAACTTCAAAAATAATTTTTACTCCTCCTGAGAAATGACTACCACTACCCCATGACAGTGTTCATTGTGATTAGTGTTTTATAAGGATACTTAAAAAATAATCCAAAAGGACATAATGTGAGAAAAATCCAAGGGCTGCATAAAGTAATCAAATAGGTAGTTGGGAAAATACCCCCCAAAAGATTAAAAACCCCTTTTGTCTGGACCGAAATGTTTACGCAAATGGAAACGACATAGAAAATTTCACGTAAATAGCTTAGCTCGATAAAAATTTATGATGCTCTGATATTGGTCACATTGTTTTTTTAATCAACCGGTAAGTTCACACTACAGTTTTCTTGAACACATTGAAGGGATTCTCAAGGGTTCCATTAAACTATAATCTTATTTCTCTATTCATTTAGAAAGGTTTTGTGTCATAATCTACCTTAGAAAATTTACTTATGAGGTCATTAGCAACATCTACACAATTTCTATTCGAATTTATTCTGATAGCAGTAAAATATCTGACAAAATAAATAATGATATTTATGCTCTGTTCTCTAAGGAAAAAATAATTTTTAGAATGTGTAATCCAGGTTTTTGTTCAAGATTTTTAGAAAATAATTAACAGCATTTAATGGGGATTCAAAAATATCCTATCCAAGAAGAAATCTACGTTGATGTTTAAATTCTTTGCGATAACCATATCTCGCTCCAACGCCTTACCAATTCCTTGTTGGCTACAAAATCATTACCTTTACCATACACAAGCTGAAAATTTATATTCATGATATGTAAGGTAGTATAAGGAATGATATTTTTCTTTTTTTAGATGATTTCAAAAATTAAATGTTAAAATATTTTTTATAAAATTTTTCCGTTTTAAAAACTTTTAACTTTAACTTTAATTTTTTTATGATAAATACATCAGTTATTTATAATTAAATCTGCTTTAGACAGCAATCGCTATTATCTCCAAAATTTCAAGCAAACCAGAAAAATTATAGAACAAAAGTTTTTTTTTCATCTAAAATAAAGGAATTATTGAAACAAAATACTTTCTAAGTAAAAAATAAATACAAGATGTAATCATAAGAAACAGAAAAAGATTGTAAATGAAGATAATACACCCGTTTTATCTTTATGATTTAAAAAAAAAGGTTTTCATGTGCATCTACATCATTTTATTATATTTATTTTTTATGGTGTAAATCTCTAGCTTAAACAGACATAAAGCAGAAACATGACACTAAAAAAAGTAATAAGAAAGGAAGAAAAAAATAATAAGCAGCTTAAATAGAAATTGTTAGTTAATTAATTCACTCTTCTTAAATACTTGTATTTATTTTTCGCTAAATGAAAAATTTATGATAAAATTTCATTTTATTTTATCATTTTTATATTTTCTACTTATGTGCTTTTAAGAATAATTATAAAATTCTCGCCAATATATAACACAATAGCGATATTTTTTTAAAAAAGGGATGTGAAAACTTGTAAAGAGTACTGAGAAGTGAAAAAGATAATTTGTTTACCTCTTTTTCAATAAAAACCTTCAAATAATTGCTTTTTATAAAAAGTCAACTTACTTATTGGCTTAAATTCATTTTTTAGTATTGTCTTTCTTAACTTTTGCATCGATTTTAACGATATTTTTTTTTCTTAAATTGTGCTAATAAAAGCTCTAATCAGTTAAAATGTTTTATATTTTTTAATGTCTAAAGTCATCATTATTCTTGTGTGATGGCGGTATATTTCTAATCTCCCATTATTAAATGGTTACTTTAGTTTCATATATTGAATGATGAAATAAAAAACAATAAACTTATTTAAAAGTGGATACATTTAAAATTATCATGAAAAGTAATTCTGATGTTAGTGATACATCCAGAATTCACTATTAAAAAAACCAAACTCAATATTTGCGAGATAATTAAAAAATAAAAAAATTCAAAATACTTCATCTTTTTTTCCCCTATTGAAATTCAGCTTGTCAAGGTTTCTTGTATGGCGCATGGTGTAGTCTATAACCCACTATAAAACATTTTTTCTCATTTATCTAAATGAAAATTTGTTATTCCATTTGTGGTCACGGAATTATTTTTTTAAATGTCAGAAAAACTGAATGACGTCACAGCAGAAATAAAATTACCAATGAAATGAGATAGTCGAAAAATATTTTTATCCATTCCAAGTTTTTTTTTAAAAGTAGCATCTTCCAGGTAATCTTATATTAATTTAAATAGTTCTTTTAGTAAAACGCTACTCGTTCCAATTATTTTTAGTTACAAAGTAATACAAATTGTTATTAATATTTGGGTGTTATTTTTTAACATAAATGTTTTCTTTAGTGCCTCTTTTAGTGCCTGAACTTTCAATAATTTTGGTTAAACTGAATTAGGTGACTTAAAGAAATTTCTGAAAAATTTAATGAGAAACAAAAGGTAGTTTACAAATTCAGAAACATTATCTGCAAGCAGTTTTTCTAATTCAATTTCAAATCGTAAAAAGTAAAAAAAAATACGAAATTAATTACTTTGATTATGGAGATATATGTATTATTTTTTATGAAAATTCAAATCGGAAAATTAAAGTAGACTAGGAATTTTTTTCTTGTTAGTGAATTTAATTATTCTTGACACACATGATTAAGTATAAACAATTAATTAAGAGAGAGATTAAAACAATGCATACTACTCTGAACTATGTTCAAATACTTAAAAACAATGTTTTTTATCAAATATTTAAAATATATGTAAAAAAAGATAACGCAAAATAACTATGCGACATTTGAAACACTATTTTTTTTACAAGTGGGAAGATACTTATTATAAGTACATGCATTTGATCTCATCTTAGAAGTTAAATCCAACTTAATTTACATACATATTTCGATCTTGGATTCGATATATATCAATAAGTAACTATCTCCTTTACTGATATTATATAATTTTCAAGAATATTTATTTACAAATGTAAACAATTTCTATATTTATATCAGATGTATGTGGATTCATTTATCTGCTTTTTTACTTTTTATTTAAAACTAATACAATACATAATTTTTATTTGATTTAAAAATAGGTAGAGGGATACACATATTAGTGAGTATGATAATGAGTTCATGACTAGCAAATTTCTGGTTAAGGTCTTGGTTGCACTGAATTATGCTGCTATGACAAGGTCTCATTTCAATCAAGGTGCAAAACTGAGAGTGCCAATGATGTGATCGATCAGAAACTTTGATACGAAACGATTGGTGTTGACTTCCTCATTTTGAAAATGTTTCAAATCATTGTATCTTTTCATCAATGGACTGGATCTTGTCTGATTCACGTCTTTTACCAATCAGCTATCAATTTTAACGAGCTCCTTGAATCGGAAACGTTACTGAGGATGAAATCGTTCACCAAAACTAGTTTCGCTTTTCTTTACTTTGACCTTGGATACAATATATTAAAGAGAGCTAGGCCTCAAAAGTCTGTGTAGTTTGAAAGGGGACATAGAATACTTAAATATCAAGAACACGATTTAAAAAAAATACATCTATTCAAAAGTTGAACTTCAAATGTGTGACTAAATACATGACTTATGATTAACTTAGTGATTGATTCTAATCACAAAAACATTTCCTTTGATCTACATATTTTAAGTATTGGAAAATAAGTATAACTTGATAAAAATATTTCATGTGTTACTTTTCATATTTATGTGAATATTTTGTGAACGTTCAACAATATATTTTTTCTTGATTTCATACATTTGAACTAATAATATATGCCTGCATTGAAGTAAAAATTTTCTTTTTGGAGAGCTGAATAAAAAGTCAAATCCAGACAGTCCCTATAGAGAGAATATTTTAGCGACGATACATAGAAAATGTTTTTCTTTTCTAGTACTCTATTTCTTATGTCAAACAATAAAACCTTCAGTGCTTGCACTGTATTCAGATTATTTTATGGCTCTCCTTCTCTACGTCTCACGCTTTTTTAAGTTCAACATTGCTTTCTAACTTTTCAATATAATTCTCAAGACAAAAATAAGCCAAAAATTTTTTTTAGATATGTAACATTTTCTATTCTGGAGTACATTTTTTAGCAATGAATTCTCAGCTTCTTTTGGAACGCTGTGCGTTATTTAGTTCTATTTTTCGATTCCTACTATTATTTTACTATCTCCCTATATATTTTTAAACATGTAGTGGATGACATTTGATGTATACTTTCTTCAAATTTTAATTCATCAATTTAGTTTAATTAACTAATGAATAGTAACAAACAAAAGTAATAGTCCAACAGCATATATAGAAAAACAATTTTTTCCTTGTGTTCCAGTAGCCGGATGGAGAATGCGTTGGGCTTCCAATCCAAAGGTCGTGGCTTCGAATTCCACCTTGGACGACCTAATTTTTGAGAAAATAATTTCTTTTAAACTATACTATTTTATAAGAATAATTAAATTTACTTAATAAAAAATAGTAACAAACAAAGAAAAATAGTTTATTACCGTATATAAAAAGAAAAATGGAAAATTTTGCAAGGAAAATTGCTTTTTATTTTGTAACTTAATATTGTGATTCCGTCATATGTGCATACATATTTATATTAATTGTAATTATTTAATAAAAAGTAACTAAAATAAATATTTCTCTGTTGACGTAGCTAGAAATTAACTTAAAAAAGTTTTACATTTCTTGTTAATTATAGGAAATTCTTTAAAAAGGTACAAAATTAACTATCTCGTAAGCACTTTGGGGAAAAAATTCGACACATTTTTAAACGATTTAGATGAAGAAATTTAGATGAAACCAATTTTTAAACATTACACTTTTTTATAAAATTTCTAAGTACTTGAAAAGTTAGAAGTAAAATAGTATTACTTGTTGGTAAGCAATGAAAAAGGAAACATGAGAGAGAATAGAAATTTCGGCTTAAAAAACTATATTTTTGGACACACAAAATACTTAATCACAGTTGAGGAAATGTTCATCTATTTTATTAACTTGATTCGACCGTTTCACATTTTGTGTGTGTTGTGTGTGCGTGTGATGCGTATTTTAATATTTTCCATCTAAAATGGTTAAAAAAAGACTTAAAATATTTTCGAAATTCAACCAGTAAATACACCATGGGCAACTCATATATAAAATTAAAGCTCAACACTTTCACCACAAACTTCTCAAAAATTCAATTTCTTTATTATAAATATATGCATATACATATGTCAGATCTAGAAGGTTTAACATAAAAATTAAAATGATTAATAAATAAAAATCGAGTGAACTCTTTATTAACGTTTATGTATTTCAGAATTAGTTGGACTATTTAAAAGCAAAGCGCTTCCGTTTATGAGAGATTTAGACCCTATAAGCGGCGAATGAGAGTTGACTTCCTCACTCGCCAAAATCCAATCAAAGAACAGTCACTCAGCAGGCCCACCTGCAATAACATTCAACTCATCACAGCGAACTTTTTTTTTCAAATGATTGGCTATGCCAGTCAGAAAGCAGCAATAACAAACTTGAAAATTTCCATTATCGTCTCCACATCAACTTTTCCAGGCATGGAATTGAGAGCCGCAAGTAGCCCAAATATTTCACCGCATGCGCTTATGCTTGTAAAGAGTGTTTTGTTCAGAGGTATAGAAATTTAAATTGCAATAAAACAACGATGTATTATTCGATTGACATGAATTGATTTTACTCAAAAGATAATCTTGTGGCATTACATTTTAAATATGATTTATGGCATATGACTGCCACGGCTGGCTCGGATGTAGTCCAATCTGGACGTCCAATTTTCGATGACTTTTTCCAACATTTGTGGCCGTATATCGGCATTAACACGGCGAATGTTGTCTTCCAAATGGTCAAGCGTTTGTGGCTTATCCGCATAGACCAATGACTTTACATAGCCTCACAGAAAATAGTCTAGCGGTGTTAAATCACAAGATCTTGGAAGCCCATTCACAGGTCCAAAACGTTAAATTAGGCGGTCACCAAACGTGTCTTTCAATAAATCGATTGTGGCACGAGCTGTGTGACATGTTGCGCCGTCTTTTTGGAACCACATTTCCTGGACATCATGAATGTTCAATTCAGAAATGAAAAAGTTAGTAATCATGGCTCTATACCGATCACCATTGACTGTAACGTTGTGGCCTTCATCGTTTTTGAAGAAGGATTCCACCAGCCCATCAAGCGCACCAAACAGTCAGTTTTTCTGGATGTAACGGTGTTTCGACATACACTTGTGGATTAGCTTCACTCCAAATGCGGCAGTTTTGTTTGTTGACGTAGCCATTCAACCAGAAGTGCGCTTCATCGCTAAACAAAATTCGCTTATGAAAATCGGGAACAACGGCAATTTCGTTTTGGACCCATTCGTCGAATCTACGCCTTGCTTGGTGATCGTTTTGATGAATTGCCAAACCAAACTAAGAATAAATCACTTGACAGCTGTTAAATCGGTCGCCATCTTGGAAAGTAATGCCAACTTAAACTTCTATACCTGGGGAAAAAATACTCTTTAGTTTAGGAGGGAGAATAATCGAGGTGCGTTAGCTGGTATTTCCTCACTGTTCAAATGTCCTTTATTCGAACCAGTAGGCGTTAATGGACAGTCATGTTGGAATAAATTTTTAACAGGCTAAAATAAAACTTGAGTTGCTTAAAGCATATCGCTGTTATTCTATCCATGAGAGCTTCGAGCATGACGTATATACATATAATTATAAAATACATTTTCTTGAAGCCCAGTCGCTGAGGGGTAGCGTATCGTGCTTTCATTTTTTCAGGCCACAGATCCAGTATTCAAACACCTAATTGGGCAAAGTCAACTCAGACTTGCATCCCTTTTGTTGATAGATAAATGAGTGCCAAACTTGCTTGAGGGACTTAACACTGGTCGGTTCACTTCACACTGACTACCTTATCGGAATACGTACTTGTTCACTTCAATGCCCAAGGTCAGTAAAACTGACATGAGAATAGCAGGCATAAGGCCTCATGAGCTAATACACGCCTGGATTAAGTTTTAAAATGTATTTTCTTAAAAAAAAAAACGCACAAGCAATTCATGCACAGAATTTTCATTACACATGGAAAGAACAAAATTAATTGCGAAATAAATTATACTGGGGACGGCATAAATCTAGTCCCATGTGGCAAAGAATTTAGTGGATCTTGATCTGATGTTACTGAAACAAAACTCTACACGTATACCCTTCCTAAAAATTCAAACATGTTTACAATAAATATGTACATATTTATGTATAATTTTAAAATATATTTTCTGACAAAGGAAACACAAACATTTCAAACGGAATTTCCATAACATATGGAGGGAAATAAATAAATTACGAAACATATGATAATCTTTTCTTTATAAAAAAGTGTAGTCTTTAGGCTATTCAAACTTAGAGCTTGGGAATTGTTATTACTTTTTGTCTAGACGATTGAAACAAAAATAAATTTATCTTGATGAAACATAAAATTTTCGAAGACATTTTTGTGCTGAATAAAAACGGTTTGCATGCATACTTGGATTTAAACTATTTAATCTTGATTAAATAAAAATTCCAGAAATAAAAATTCAAGATACTATTACCGATGTAACTATTTTTGTCCTCTAAAATTAAATTAAATAGTTACTTTAGAACTAATTAGACAATGAACTGCAAGGGAAATTTAATGTATGAAGAGTTCATTGCATAAAATAACTTGTATCTGGCAATTCAGAAAGTAACAAAAATAATGTTATCTTAAGTACGCTTGAGATTTAAATCCAATTATAATTTTCTGCGAATTATTTCTTCATAACGATTATCATACATGTTTTATTTCCATTTTTAACTAATACTTATAAATTCATTAAATATATATATATTATATTTTTGTGTAAAAAGTTAAATCGGGATAGAATATTTCTACACAAGCCATTAAACTGTGCCAGAACTATATTCCTGAAAAAGAATATGCAGAAAATTCTTCTAAACTAAAGTTCGTGCAGTGCTTGTTTAAATACTAAACCCTGCGATTAAAAAAGAGGTTTGGACATTTTTCAGTGTCTTCTAAAAGCTAAAAGATTATTGTTATTTTTCGTTATCTACTTTAAATAATGTAAAGAACAAATTTATCATTCTTTTGACCATTAAAAGTTAAAAGAAAATGACATGAAATGGGAATTGTGTAGTTTCTTCAAAATGTTATCGTTTATTGAAAAGAATGCAATTAGAAGAATTAGGAACAGGTTGAATGGGAAATTCTTGAAAAGTCGTGGTTTTTTTATGTTTATATGCAATTGAATTATTTCCTTACTAAAAAAAGAAAACTCTACAATATAGGAAGGCAAATGAGTCTAACACTTTATTTTCAAATTATTAGAAGGTGAAAAATTAAAGTTATTAAAATTGCATTGTCTTTTTATTTAGCGAGAAACATAACCGGCTTTTTAAACAATTATCGCAAATTAACGTTTGCTTCTCATTTTAATTTTATAATGCATGTGTGAAAGCGTTACAGTTTTTATAATCAGTTTTAAATGTATTGAAACTTTTAGTTACAGAAATTGAGAAATACATAAATCCTCATTTATATTATTTTTTTTCAGTTTTTGGTTTAAGTAGTTATTTAATTAGATGCTCTAAATTATTTGTACTTTTGTTTAACAGCAAAAACACTGAAAAATCCACAGAATTTAAATTTTATTATAAAAACGAAATAACGTGTGTGTGTGTGTTGAGAAATTATTTTCAAATTATCGTTAATCAACAGATCTTAGCCTGTCACAAAAACTGATTTTATTATATGTATCGATTTTGCCGTGAAAAATCTCGGAAGTATAGGTTTTTAAAAAAAGATGAAATATTCTTTCTTAAAAAAACATAACTTTTATGAACTTTAAGAAAAAAACACCATAATGTTGCCTGAATATTAATAAAATATAATACACACGCTTGATATACTAATAGACATGCTTTTTTTCGAAAAGATAATACAGTAGCGGTTTCTTGGCGCATTTTCAACTAACCCCTACAGAAATCTAATTTATGGTTTGTTTGATTGCCTCTCCTAAAGAAACCGTGATTAATGGGAATTATGCTTGATATTTACACTCATGTCCATAAATTATGGATAATTCAGAATCGCACAAAAATTGGACTCTAAAATAAAAAAAAAAATTCTCCTGTAGAATGATCACACACATCTTGAAGAAGAATATGCAAATTACAGGAAACCACCAGATGGCGCGGATAGTCCGTCACAATGACAAGAGTCTAAGACAGGGGTATATAAGGAATGGTGGCAAAGAAGTAAAATATTTCACAAGTGCTTTAAAAGCCTTTCAGTGTAATAATCGCATAGTTATCGCACAAAGGAAGCATTTGGATGATTTTTTAC